ACCTGTATGTATTACTAAATGTTTATTTACTACTACTTGATTATATGTGTATTTAAACAAGACTAGGTTCCAACGTCCTGTTGAAGTCAATGGACTTAGACTTGAGCAGATAAAAAACTGCGTTTATCTGGGACAGATCGTTTGTGCACCGAAAAACCGTTTATGTGAAATGAACAAAATAACTAAAATGCACTTTTGAAAGACTGAAAGTGTTTCATTTAGCCAGACTGGCCTTGTGCTTAGAACGAGAATTTTCGAATAGTGTGTTTTCTCAGTGCCATTATATGAGTGAAAACATGAGCTTTCAGCATACAAGCTGGGAACAATACTAGAAGATACAAAGGAAACTGAGCAGGTAGAAGCACAGACAAGAGTTTGTGATGACATTGCACCAGTGCAGAAATTAAAATAGCAATGGCGCGTGGTACATTGTAAGAATAACTGACCATCGCGGCACCAGAAAGGGATTAGACTCAGTTCCAAGAGAGCCCGTAAACGGCTCGTAGGCACATCTCAAGATCCGTTACAAGACGAGCTGAAGAAATTCGATTGGTTAAAATGCATATAAATCTCAGAAAACCTAAATTTATTTCAAAGTCTTGGAGAGACATTCATCCAGCAGTGAATCAGTAAAGGCTGACGATCATGACTAGGTATAGACGTATAACTTAGCAAGCGCATGTTGCTACGAACTATTGGGTAGAATAGATGTCTTGGATTAGAAAACTCAAATCTTGTCTTTAGCTGGTGGAGCAGTGTATAGGAGGTCGGCATTGAACTCGAATTCCTTACGTGCCTAGTTTGGTTCTGTCGCAGGGCAATCTGCATCTTAACCACGAATTTCCTGAAATAAGGAATTCATCACACCTTGCTTCATGTCGAGATTGCGTCAGACTTAGACAGAGATCCGGGATCGAGCCCTGAGCGGTTCGATCGCCTTTCTTCCTTTCATGATTGATAGATGAGTGATAAAAAACGAAAATATAAGCTGTGCTTGTCAGATAGCTGTTACCGATTCTCTCTTTAAAGTTAAGGCACTGCTTCCTTACTGAAAATATGGAAATGCAGTTCCGTGTTCCTACCATTAACTTCATGAGAGAATTGTCACTGTCATTGTAAGGAAGACAGTCAGTCATACGGTTAAAAGCTTTTTTAAAAGCCCTTTTCCCATTTACAGCACCGTGTGACATTAATGCACTAAATTTTTTGAACAAGGAACAAAAATTGATATTCCTACAAAAGAACTTTCGTCTACATGTCAGCATAGTTGTTTCGAACGTTCTGCTATTGTAACGACGCATTAGAACATAGACGTTTACTAAGGCGATGTTTTCGTTTTAGCCACAGGTTTAGTATCGTTTAGGCGCATATATAGAAAATTCCATCCGCATGAGAGCCAATGACATATAATATGCAACGATTGTTCCTGTTGTACCAAGTAAGTCAATATTGGGCTGTCGTCATCAAGGTCGTTCAGACGGAAAGTTGTCATTGTTATCATCATCTGAGATATCAGGGTCAATGGCAGAGTGCCTAGATTAAGGATGTCTTATTCTTTAGGTTCTCAGAAGATTTAGGCGATTTTGGTTGCTGTGACAAGAGTAAAATTCTTCATCTACCTCAACCAGCTGCTTTAGGGTCCGTTGGTTGGCTTTGACGAACATTCAGTCATTTTCTGCTTCTCAGAAACGAATGGTTTGGATGCCTTCATTTTTTCTCCGGATAATTTTCCTAAATCAGGAAAGACGCCGGTACCAGATTTCTTCAGACAGAATTCTCAGGTCGGTCGTCTCGAAGATCTTCTCATTCTTCATCCGATGCAGCCATCGCACTTTTTGAATGTTCCGTAGGCACCGCTGCTGAAAAGTGTCCAACATCCTTTCATGGCGCTTTAAAAGGGTTGATGTTTCAAGGCTTTATATCAGGACTGGAAAGATGACGGCTTTCAGTATGGTTTTCTTTGTTGCCTTCAGAACTGATCGGTCTTGTCACGGCTTAGAAAGTCGCTCGAAGTTCACAGACACCAGCCCTAAGCGCCACTCTGCTTCCATGTCGCAGTTTCTATCTTTTACCAGTACAGAGTTGAGGTACTTGAAGTTTTTCGACCTCGTCGATGATTCAGTCTGAATCTTTGGGTCGTTAGTCGAGTCAGGTGCTCACGAGATCTTCGTTTTGAATAGGGGCTAACTTCTTGGCCTACCATCAGGGCCATCTTGCGTACTTGTTGAGTTAGTAAGCCATTGGGGAGTCGCTCAGAAGCACAATGTCGTAAAAG